GGGAAACTGTTGGGATCAGCCCTGCCATTTTCTGGATACCCTGTCCCATTGGGCTCGGTTCTCCAGTGGAAAGGGGGAGATACTCAGAGCTGGGAATTCAAAGTGTAAGCCCCTGGGACTGGGACAAAGTGCTTAGCCCCCTCCTGTGGGCCGTGCTGGCATCACCGCAGTGAGAGACTCCTTTGATCTGTCTGCCTGAGCCTAGGGTGGCTTAGCTTGCTCCTGCAGAGAGGGTGGCTGGTTGAACCCAACCTGGGAGCTCCTCTAGGGGGAGCTAGAGTTGGAGACTTGACAAAGAATGAGTGTTCTGGCTCTGAAGTAGGGGCCACTTTTTCCTTTGGGTGCCTCACTGCATGATCCCCAAATCGGGGATACACTAATCCTGTATGCCAAGTCCTAGTTGCCCCACCCTACTGAGCTGGCAACCTGTGGAAGGGGCTGTGGTTTGTGGCCAGCCTGGGCCCACTCTTCAGTGTTTCTTTGGAAGGCTCTGGACAAAGTCCAGGCAAACTCACAGTGAGACAGAGTAGCTGACAGGTGGAAGTGGACCTCAGGGAGCCTCAGTCCTTTTACAGATCTGCTCCCAGCTCTAACCTGGAGGAAGCTGACCCTTATACACAAATAGACCCCTCTCCCACACAGATCCGGTAGATGCAGTTACAAACAGTGAACAGCCTGGTAGTCCAAGCAGGTTGCCCAAGGCTGGTTACACACAACAGCTGACAGTGACCTGTATCTGAACGCAGCCTAAGTGGACCCAGAACCAACACAACAAGTGGTGGGCTTCAGACCACACCAGAGCTTGATCCAAGTAGCCACACAAGCTGCACACCCAAAGGGGTATTAGGGCAGGCACCAGACCCTCCCAGGAACAACTCCACCTTAGGGGACAACCTCTGCACAGTGTCTCATACACAGCGTCTACCAGCCTGAAGGGTTAACTCTACCCACAAAAGGGCCAACAGCATTCAAGACAACTACAGTAGGAGGGTGCACATAACCCAGGAAAAAAACATCCCTGGAGCAAGGAGTTCAGGTGATCTGGAAGATTGTGCTACTAAGCCCAACAAAACACCATCATAAAACCATGATAGCAAGATTGTGAGTCATAGGAGATCTACCTAACACACAGAGACAAAATGGGGAGACAAAGAAATAGGCCCCAAATGAAAAAACAAGATACATCCCCAGAAAAGAATTAAATGGAAGCAGTAAAAAACCAAACCTTATAACAATGGTTATAAGGATGCTCAAGGACCTTAGGGGAAGAATGGATGATCTCAGTGAGAACTTAAACAAAGAGATAGTAAGTATTGAAAAGGACATTGAAACCATAAAAAAGAACCGAACCATTCAGAATTGAAGAATATACTAGAAGGAATCAGCAGCATGTTAGATGAAGCAGAGGGTTAAATCAGTGATTTAGAGGACAAGATAACAGTAAGCACTCAAACAGAGCATCAGAAAGAAAATATAATGTTAAGAAATGAGGAAACTCTAAGGGACTTTCCTCATTAAGCTTAACATCTACATCACAGGGGTACCAGAAGGAGAATAGAATGAGCAAGGGAATAGAGAACTTGTTTGAAGAAATAATGGCTGAAAACTTTCTTAACCTGGCAAAGGAAAAAGTCACACAAGCTCAGGAAACACAGAGTCCCAATCAAGATGAACCCAAAGAGAGACAAACTGAGACACATCATAATTAAAATGATAAAGGTTAAAAACAAGGAAAGGATCTTAAAGGCAGCAAGGAAGAGACAGTTACCTACAAAGGAGTTTGCGTAAGGCTGTCAGCTGATTTCTCAACAGAAACACTTAAGGCTAGAAGAGATTGGCATGAAATATTCAAAGTGATCAAAAGCAGGGACCTGCAACCAAGACTTTTATTGAGCAGGTCTATAACTTAAAATTGAAGGTGAAATAAAGAGTTTCCCAGACCAAAAAAAAAATGCTTAAGGAGTTCATTATCTCTAAACCAGTATTGCTAGAAATGTTAAAGGGCCTGCTTTAAGAGGAAGAAGAAATATATAGAGAGAGAGAGGAACGTAGGCATAAAGTATAAAGTGGCAATAAATAAGTGCCTATCAATAATAGCCTTCAATGTAAATAGATTAAGTGCTCCAATCAAAAGACATGGGTAGCTGAATGGATAAGAAAACATGACCCATATATATGCTGGCTTCAAGAGACCCAGCTCAGAATAAAAGATCCACACAGTGAAAGTGAAGGGATGGAAAAAAATCATTCCGTGCAAATGGAAATGGAAAAAGAAAAGCTTGTGTAGCAATACTTATACCTGACAAAATAGACTTCAAAACAAAGGCCATAACAAGAGACAAAGAAAGTCACTACATAATACTAAAGGGATAGATACAACAAGAGGATGTAACTCTTGTAAACATGTGCACCCAACATAGGGTCACCTAAATATATAAAGAAAATCTTGGTGGACATTAAGGAGAAATTGACAGCAATACAGGCATAGTATGGGATTTTAACACCCCATTGTCTTCAATGGATGGATCTTCCAGACAAAAATTTAACAAGGAAACAGCAACCTTAAATGACACATTGGCTCCGATGGATTTAATGCATATTTACGGACCATTTTATCCCAGAGCAGCAGAATATACATTCTTCTAAAGTGCACATGAAACATTCTCAAAGATAGACTACATGTTAGGACACAAAATAAGTCTTAACAAATTCAAGATTGAAATCATCACAATGGCATAAAACTAGAAATCAACTACAATAAAAAACTGAAAAACATTCAAACACATGGAGGTTAAATAGCATGTAATTAAACAATGAATGGGTTAACAATGAGATCAAGGAAGAAATAAAAAATTACCTGGAATCAAATGAAAATGAACACACAACAACCTAAAAATCTATTGGACACACTAAAAGCAGTCCTGAGAGGGAAGTTCGTAGTATTAAAGGCCTACCTGAAAAACAAGAAAAATCTCTAATAAACAATCTAACCCTGCAACTAAAACAACTAGAAAGAGAACAATACAAGCCCAGAGTAAGCAGAAGGAAGGAAATAATAAAGATCAGAGCGGAAATAAATGACATGGAGACTAAAAAAAATAATACAAAAGGTTCTTTGAAAAGTTAAACAAGATTGACAAGACAAGCCTTTAGCCAGACTCATCAAGAAAAAAAGAGGACCCAAATAAACAAAATCAGAAATGAAGGAGGCAGAGTAACAATTGACACCACAGAAATACAAAGGGTTGTAAGAAAATGCTATGAACAACTATATGCCAACACATTGGGCAACCTGGACAAAATGGACAAATGCCTAGAAATATACTATCTTCCAGAATTCAGTCAGGAAGAATAAGAAAGCCTGAATAGACTGGGAGACTGATCACAACTAATGAAATTGAGGCAGTAATAATAAAAACTCCCAGCAAACAAAAGTCCTGGACTGGATGACTTCATAGGCAAGTTTTACCAAACATTCAAAGAACTAACAGCTTTCCTCCTCACACTTTCCAAAAAATTCAGGAGGAAGGGAGACTTCCAAGCTATTTTTATGAGGCCAGCATTATCCTAATTCCAAAACCAGATAAAGAAACACTATTAAAAAAAAAGAAAATTATAGGCCAATATCCCTGATGAACATAGACTCTAAAATCCTCAACAAAATATTAGCAAACCAGATGCAGCAATACATTAAAAAGGTCATAGTCCAGCCGGTGAGTCTGAAGTCCTGAGTGCTATTTGTTTTCAGCCAGATTCCTTGCAGAGTTTACACTGTGATGTGTGTGAGCCTTTTACTGTTCACTTAGCAAGTCCAGTTTGTCCTTGGAGCTTTGATGATAATAATGGCGCCTGGCCTGGTTAGTGAAGCCTCTGGCCTCTAGGGTTCCTTGTCACACTCTCCAGGACCCGAGGCACCACAGCCAGCAGTGGGGGCTCACACCCCCTAAGGTGGGTCGTTCTGGGAGTAACTGAGCCTCTGGGACATGGCGCGTGTGGGGTATGGCTGTGGTCATGACGGGGTGCTTCTCCTTTGTTTTGTGGAGACCGTTCATCTTGGTGCCACATGTCATGTTCACCCCAGGGCCTCCCCACTGAGGAAGGGCCGATGCATCCACGGAACCCATGAAATCAGGTGCCAGTGGGAGGATACCTGCCAACAGGCGCAACTTGAGGCCCAGGAATAGGTGGCTTGGAGCTGGGCACCCCTCAGTACAGTGAGCGGAGCTGTCCCTGGGAGGCTCTGATTCCACTTCTGGGGCCAATTGAACTCTGGGTTTTTATTTCTTTAAAAAAGCTCTTGGATAGATTGATTGACATATTATTTGCAAAGCTGTACTGCATTTGTCACCCTGACCACTGTCATCATCCCAGCAGACAGAACTGTAGACAAGTGTCGTATTCCAGTTTTCTGTTGTCTGTACTGGCTCACCTTAAGAGCTTGCTGGTGTTTTGTTCAGGTGCTGTGTGTGTGCAGTTTGAATGTGTGTGTTCATGTTTCACTGATTCTGGTCTGAAATTAGTTTTAACGTGTAAGCAGCACGGGCTTCTGAGACTCTTCCTGCCCGGCCCGTCTGGCTGGGTCCTTAGCAGCAGCTCCCACAGACGTCAGTTCTTACGCTGGCGGTTCTTACAGTGTTCAAACCCCATCCACAGGCTAAATTACAGTAAAGTCACAGATGGGTGGCAAAGACTTGTGAATCCTCATGTTAACATAACATTTCTGTTTCCTTTTCAGAGTTCGTGGGCTGAGAAAGAAAGTACATTAAAAAGATCAGAGAAGGTAGGATGCTTTTTCACACGCACTTAATATTCTCAGTATCAGTGTGCGCTCGCACATTCTAATGGCTCTTTTTTAGCTGAAGCAGCCGTAGTCATCTTCCTCTTCATCAGTTAAACTGTGTCATGACGGCTGCAAAGACAAGCTCCAGGAAGTGTCTGGGGGCTGATTCCCTCTGTGAACAGACTGCTTCAGGAGTCGTTTCAGATTACTGAGCGTCATTTAGTTGAGGGGAAATTCTAAACAAAGTCTCCCAGTTGACCATTAAATTTTTCTTTTTTAAAAAAATTTCTCTAGTTCTTAAAGTGTGTACCAGGTAAGGAGAAGGGAAAGGACAATTGGCCCGAGCCGCTTCGTACATTGGGAAACACAGGGCGTGTGTTCCCGTTTCACAGAAGCGTGGTCATCACGACCAGCAGTGCCTGCCCCTCAGTGTGCAGCTCCCTGGCTGCTCCTCTCCAGGCTCGACAGACATGACTGGAAAGGGCCACATGGTTGATATTTTTGGCTGCAGTCTGTCAGTGACTCAACTTTGCCATTGAAACACAAAAGCAGCTATAGGCAGTGTGTAAACATCTGAGCGGGGCTGTTCTATAAAACTTTGTTTATAAAAAGAGGCAGTGCCCACATGGGCCCATGGGCCGTGGTTTCTGGACTTCTAAATTATCTACAAACAAATTAAAAACCCTAAAAATTGAAAAAAAAATTATACATATTGTATCCTTATTTGAGCTTCCCTTTGACCGATTCATTTACATTGGACCTTTGCTGGAATTGGTAGGTTTAATGCTATTCCGGTGCAGCTGTGGATAAGGTGCTGGGCCCGAGGCCTGTGGAAATGCCCCTGTGCACAGGGTATGTTTGGAGGGCAGCATCTCTGTGCAGACTCCGCCGTGTGGGGATGCCTCCACCTTCAGACTGCCATGCCCTGTGATTCCCACTCAGCCTGTCCGTGTCGGGGCTGAGGGACAGTGTCTGCACTGCATGTGGGGATGCCTCCACCTTCAGACTGCCATGCCCTGTGATTCCCACTCAACTTGTCCATGTCGGGGCTGAGTGACAGTATCTACACTGTGGTCCTTTTGTTATGTGGGAAGGGTCTAACAGTGAATCCTTACTCCTGGGTGTCCTTTCTCTGAATTTCACACAGAGCACTTGCTGCCCTTCCCTTATAAAACCTTGATGATTCTTTGCTGTGCTGTAATTGAATTAAGGGGTTACAGTGACTTCACATTGTGCTTTACTTATATTTACTTGGACCCACACCCTTATCACCTGAATTAGACTTCGTTCAGCACCCCGTTCTCCTGGGTGGCATGTGTGGGACACCCTCAGTGGGCTTAGGAGAGCCCTGGTCTCAGGAGTCACCCGGAGACGCTCAGGGAACACTGCTCCTCTCTGCTCCACGGTGGCTCGATGACTCTTTCCCACAGAGAGGGGCTACTTCCTGACTGTGCCCCTGTTGCAGATCCGATCACCTATCAGGCCCTGTGGCACCTCCGCCCCCCTCTTAATGGCTCTTAGTTAACAGAGTTCATCTAATTTAATAAATAATATTGCAGATTGATTCACTTTTACTTGTGGTGTTTTCCCAGAGAGACCCAGAGTTCCGGAAGGCCATGTTCCTCCTGGTTTACCACGACTGCGTGGTCCCCCTTCTCCACGGGACACTCCTGCCCCCCTTCCGCTGGGCAGAGGAGGAGACTGAAGCAGCCAGGTGGAAAGTCATCACTGACTTCCTGAAGCAGAACCAAGAAAACCAGGGTGCCCTCCAAGCTCTGCTGTCACCAGAGGGCGTCCATGAACCTTTTGACATTTCAGAGCAGACCTATGACTTCCTGGGCGAAATGAGACAGAAAGCAGCCTGACAGTGGTGGCCTGTGACCTCCACTTTCCACCATGACACCCTGATGAAGTGACAGAATCAGAAGTAACTGTCACATTTAACTTAGCTTTACACTTCTCTATGCAGACCACATTCTATAAGAAATATCTCTCTGAAAATGGGAATCTTTTAATACAATAAAATAAGTTTTTATAAGGAATACTGTTATAGCTAAATTTACAGATAATTTCTTCAAAAACCAACTAACAAATTTAAGTTGACTATACCTGTAGATTTGTGTAACAGCAAGATTTGATCAAAAGCTGAATTATGATTATTCAAGAAAGTAAAAATGCAATCCATAGAATGGGAGGAGATATTTACAAATCATATGTCTTGTAAGAGTCTAGTATCTAGAATATATAAATGTATGATTGTTGCTAAGAGAATTTATGCTGGGAAATGAAGGAGAAATCAGCATGGCCTATTAGAAAGCTGTGCTGTTAATCACTTCACTCAGTCTTAACATTTGAATGTTACTTATCCCAATTAGATATAAAGGAATAATCTAGTTTTGTCTTTTTATGTCCATATAATAGCTGATCCTTCGAAGAAAAGGTCAGGTATTGGGGAATGAGGTAGCTCACCTGGGTCAAGAGAATACAGGATTTGCTGCATTTCAGATGGTCCTGTGCTGCTGGAAACCTGTCTTGTACCTTCTCTGTTAAATGCCACTACCCCTGGCACTGGCTGAGGGCTGACTGTGTGTTCTCAGCTAACTAGGTTAATCCTCAGGCAGGTTAAGTGATTGGCCAGAGAGCTAATCAGCGGCAGGGCTGATATGCCGAGTGAAGATGCCATGTATCATTTTCTGCAAACTAGGATGTTCCCGTTGGTGCAGGTTTAGGGATGGCAGGTGAGAATAAAACAGGAGGACGTGTTGGAAGAAACATGATCAAATTTGAGTGTAGCCTAACTGAGCAGAGTACAGGCCGAGGCACTTCGCCAGCGTGCTGCTGGGAGAGGCTTAGCGACCCTCAGACTCTGAAGCTTCTGGGCTGCGTCTGAGTCAGGTTTGCCTAACTCCTTACACCAAACTTCCCCGGGCCCATCTCAGAAATGGATGGCACCAGGGGTTCCCAGCTGCGAGTGTAACCTGACTGCTTGGCCTTGGTCAGGTTACACTCTGTCTCCAAGACCTGACTTCCTGCCATTCTCTGTCTCTCTGTCCCCTCTGCCCTTGGTGACACGTGCAAAGCTAAGGGTCAGACACCCCCTTCCCTGGGCCCATGGCCTCCCTGACTTCTCTGTCTCAGAGTTGCTTCTGCTTAGGCCTCTGCAGTCTTGTCTGAAGGAACTTCTTTTATTTTTTATTTTATCCTCCCCCGGGGATGTTTTTCTCTTGCTTTTAGGTAGAGTGGAAGGGAGGGAGGAGTGGGGGGAAAGGGAGACATCGTTGTGACAGACACATCCTACATGAGCCCAACCGGGGTGGGGGATTGAACCTGCAAACCAGGTGCGTGCCCTTGACCAGGAATCAAACCCGAGACCCTTTGGTCTGTGGGCCGACGCTGTAACCACTGAGCAAAACTGGCCAGGGTGCTCTGACTAACTTTTAAGGGAAAGACAAAAAGCATATCAATATGACATTCAACTGATTGAACAAGTTTTGTTTTCATAATTTTTTTGGCTCAACCTTTTAATATAAAAAATTCACTGATGTACAAAAAGGTGAAAGTGTGACAATGACAACATATGAAATCCTGATTGAGATTCACCAGAGCGCGCACAGCGATGCACACACACCCGCCCACACAGACTCTGGGTGGAAACGAACTAATGCAAACCAGGGCTACCAAGAAGGGCCAGCGTGTGCGCCCCACTCCAGGAGTCAGACCAGCACCTACTGGACACAGGTAACACCAAGTGCGCCCCTCCCAGGAGCAGCAAGGCAGCTTCTCACCAGGACCAGGCACAAGTAAACCCAGCAGGAGCACTGCGTACTTAACTTTAGGATAGTCACTCATGAGGATCGGCGCAATCCCAACATAAGGAACGAGTCCCCTCGCTCTCCCCACATCTTTTTCTGTAGCCAACGTCCTTGTTTATAGAGGCCTTGGTCATTAGCCCCATTATTGTCTCCTTTGGTCAGAAGCTTGATGAGTCCACTTTGCTTTTCACGAATCTTCGAGACTTGAACTCTAGGAATCTCTCTTCCTTCTATTCTAAAAAAAACAATTTCTCCCACTCGTATGGGATCTTCAACTTGATTTGTTAAAAAGAGAAGATCTCTAGGAAGTGCAGTCTCCATGCTGCCATGCCGCTTGCTCATCTGCTGCACATCGTCCAAAAAAGCAGCAACAGCACGGGGGGGCCGGCGAGGAGGGCACCCGCAGAAGAGGGCCATGTGACCAGCAGGTGGGCCCTGTTTTCAATAAATTTTTAACAAACTTTTAACAAGTTGAGGAGACTTACTTCGAAGTCAAATAGTGCAAAGAAATAACACGAGATTTTTAACATCATGAGAAATATTTGCTTTAAATTTTAAGAAAAAATTATATATTGTGATAAATTTGAAATGACAGCCATATTTCTGGGAAAGCGACCTAATCTGCATATATTTAGGAGAGTTGCTCTTTTGGGACAGGGTCTCTTATAGAATGAATGTGAGTTCCAAGCTGTTGGAAAGTACAATCCTCATTCCAGAGAGAATCATGGGGTTTTGAAGAATCCTTTAGTTCTGGAACTGGGACAACAGAATAACCTATGTAATGTCATAAACACAACACATATCAAGTATTTGTTGAGAAGTGAAGGAGAAAGAAACTTTATTTCTTTTTTTTGTATATAGTCTAACAACAGTACATAATGAATTTTGGTCTTGGTAGTTCTAAATAATAGGGGCAGCAACATGATCTGAATACACACTTCTCATTGCCACTGGAGGCCCGACAGCTCTAACAGGTTTCTGGGTGTGTTGCAGAAGCAGGATGTCGTTTTGTTCCATTTCATCATCGTCCCATCAGTGACAACCCAGAGCTGAACAGATCCACCTGATCTGAAAAGACATATAAAATTAAGAAAAATTATAAGTTACAGGAGACTGGATCCATTAAAGGAATCTCTATAATTATTTAAGAAATGAGGAAATGTGTAAGTACCCAAGTATTAGGAAGCATCAGTTAAATTGCCAACTCCTAAAATGAGTTATTTAGAACCATAAAGGTAGCAATGCATACTTCAGGGAATGTCTTTAAGGACTTAAGTAATTTTAGTCTTACTTGAGCATTTCCATGGAATATACAAGAAGAAATGGATAACCAGTTGTGATAACAATATCAATAAAATTACAGATGAATTAAAAAAAAATCAACCTCGGAGATTCCATATAACAGAAATAGTTGGATTTTACAAATTTGAACCTCTTGTAATAGTTGCAGTGTTTCAAAGTACCTCCTTCAAATATTAAAAGGGAAAGGAGGACCCTTGGGATGACCCAAACTAGAGTCGTCACAGAAAGAAGCACACCTGCCAGATCAGCAGGATTTTGCAGAAGCTCCTCAAATCAGAGAACCGAGGGGCTGGGCCATCACAGTGTTTCCAGACGAGAGCCCTGAACAGAGAGGACGAGAGGCCTCAGTGCGCTGCAGAATCGGGTGGAGCAGAAAAGCACCTGCAGCAAGTGCTACGGGCCTGACAGGCAGGAATCGCTCAAGGCTGGGAAGCTCGGGGGTTGAAAATAATATTTCTCTCCTTCCTTGTTTTAGTCTTAAGTCTCTACATAAAATATTCACACATTAAGGGATTAAAAAAAGATTTTACCTTCCTGAAAAAATGTTTTAAATTGGTTATTCCTAATAGTGGATTTTTACTGCAAGACACTATTTTAGGAGCCAATTATAATCACATCCTGAGAGCTAATAAGGGACAAAGCCGAGGTCTTAACAGCATGACCTTGGCGTCAGACAGATCAAGTCAAATCTGACCTTGGAAGTTTCTGAAGCTTTTCAAGTCTCAGTTTTCTCGTCTTTGAAATGAGTACAGAGTTTTTTCTTGGATCCTCTTATTACAGGGCCAACTAGATAAATGAGTGGGACTATTCTTATCAGGTTGTTATTAATCCTTGGAGGGCTCCTCATCTGTCCAAGTGGAGACAAAAATATGTAACCCTTCGGAGCACTGTGAGGATTTCAGAATAATGCACAGTAATGCACTTGACACAGAGCAGAATGTATGTGTTCACTCCCCTCCTCCTGCTGTCCTGCTTCTGCCATTTCTTCTGTTATTGTAGGTAAATTTAGTTTCTCTTAATAACATTTTCCCCTTTCTACTTTATAGTTCTTTCATTAAAACAAATGATTTCCTCGGGAGAAAACTGTAATAAGCTTCAACCAGTAATGGTATAGTTTAAGAAATTTCTTCTATCCCTATTTATTCTGATTTTCCCCCAAATCAATTCAGCATTTGCACTCACCTTTCCACTGTGTGCACTGAGTCCACACAGAGTGAGAGACTTTCCTGCAGCCCAAACAACAGCATCTCCAAACTTGTAAGAAGATTCAAGAAGTGCTTCCACTATGAAAGGAACTGTTTCGTGCTCTTGGCCCCGCTGGAAGAGGTCTCCGTGCAGGGAAGGAACAACCCTCTTAGTCTCCGAAACCTAAAACAGAAGCTGCCGTTTAAAAGGACCTTTGCTGTGGGCGGAAACCGCAAGCTGGAGTCTTGAGCCTGATGGGCTCCAGCCTCCTCAGCAGCACAGCTCATCAGCCAGAAGTGGTTCAAGAAGAGGTTACACGGAGGTGCTTACAGTGATGATATGCTAAAGTACAACACGGCTTTCCATGGAGGGGACAGCATATGCAGGACCTTCCAGGCTGTTTTACCCAGGCCAATGATGGCCAGAGGCTCAGATCCAAGAACACGGTTGATTCACGCAGTGTCCCACCCTTTCTTGTACTTACTTTTTCAGGTCTGCTGTGTGCTAGAAGCCTGGTAACCGAGCTTACTGAATTTATTGTCTCAGTTCTTCTTTCTTAACAGTGTTTACTGAGGGCCTGCTATGTGCTGGGTACTATTTTGTTGCTTAGGATAGACCAGTGAGCAAAGTAAATAATAAAAAGAATCTCTGCCATTCTGGAGCTCAAAGTCTGGTGTCCGCAGACAAACAAGGTCGTGAATAATTAGAGGGTGAGTGAGGTGATAGAAAAATAGAACAGGACAAAGGGGACTGGAAAATGTGCACATGGGAGGGGAGGAGACCATCAGTGAGGAGTTCGGGGTAGACCCCTCAGAGAATGAAACATCTGAGCAAAATCTAAACACGAGAGTTAACTGTGCTTATTTCTGGGGCACACCCTTTACCAAGGCCTTAAGGTGTAAGTGTGCCCATTACAAGGAAAGTGAACAGCTATAGAGACAAGGGTGGAGGCAGAAAGAGAGAGGAGAAGGCATGAGATGATGATGATGATAGTTGATAGCAGTGAGGGTGTTGAAGGTGGTGGCATTTGGGCTATAACTGGAAGGTAAGGCCAAGAGGATTTCATGGTGGATTCCCAAGGAATGA